ACCAGTGCTCACAAACACTTTCCTGTGTGAAGAGACAAACCCTGGTGCTCTTTTCGGTAACTTCCTCCTATCCGTTTTTTTTCTTGTCGAGCCATAGCTGAACAGCCTCCCAAATGAGCTGATCGCACTCTTCTGTGCAAATTTCAGGGCCATTTATGGATATGTGAAGTAGACTTTCTAGCATTTTATTTGAGAGGCGAGACCTGAGTCTTGTTTTAATTCTCTTTATCGCGCTACCGCCACGCTCCGGCCAGGCGTTTGATATTGGCAAGCTCAGGATTGCTTCTGCAAATAAACTAAGAAGTGGGAAAAGGAGCTTCATATGTACAAGTTTCTTCAACACAACTTCGGTTTGTGTTTCACCCACCAGCTTACTTGGTTCAGGAATCTTGAACTTAGCCATGTGGAACTTGAACAACTCGAACTCTGCAACCACTTCGGGTATTCTATTTGGAACATATATCTTTCCAATATTGCTGATTTCGCCTTTCCCATATTCCGAAAACTCTGTTGAGTCTACAGCAGGCAACAAAGAAGGATCAAAGATCGAGAACAGAGAAAACAATGGGAGACTTTCTTGAAAGCGTTCATCAAGATGTTGGGTAAGAGCAGCGACATATCGATGAAGCAGGTTATCCACCTCAACAAGACCACACTCTGTAACTTGTACTTCGACACCTTGGACAGACAGACGACCATTGGGTTTCAGATCTTGGACAGCATCACGGATTGCTTTGTGACTAAGCGCTTCTTCTTTAAGCTTCGCCTTTGCATATGCAAGATTTGGTGCTATGTGTGAAAAGGTTACTGACCCTTTTTGGAATGACTTGGAGACTAAGTCCAAAATCGGAATCAGCCTGTTCAAGATGTAAGTTGTCGCAATGAATTTGAAGGTGTTCAAGCGCATAAACAATCCTTTTGCGGCCGCATCATGCTGCTCGTCGTCGAGTATTGACCGCTTTCCCCAATGATAGCCACCTTGTTCGACATGCCTTTTTCACCTTGCGCGTGACTTTGCTCCTGGTTTTTGGGGTTGAGTTTAGGCTCTTCATGTTCATTTGAACCTTGACATAAATTGCTGTCTTCTTGTTTCAATTTTCAAACAAAGACCATAACTGGCGCAAATTAGTTTCAACAAGAGTGACGTATTTTACTGTGTTGTTGGCGCCAGCGCATGCCAATGCCAAACGATGGCATACACACCATAGCTGTTGCATTATGGGTGACCGACCCCCCATATGCTCCTCCTGCTTTTTCTTAAGTTTCACGCCAACTCCGCCCCTTTTGTCTGTGAATACAGATGTGCCATCGGACGCTAATCCTGCCAATGAAGCCCACTGAAGCTTATCTTCCTCTATCTCTTGAGCAAGCATATCCACAATCGCATCTGCATCGGCACTATTGTGGTGCTCTAGGAGGTTTCGCATGGACAAAAATTTGGTGTCCACCTGAACATCACTGCTGACATACTGGACAAAAGTGACTAATTGCTCTGTTACAGCAACATCACTTAGAAAGCAAAGAAAAGAAACGTGCACCCGCTACTTCTTTGACTACTTGAGCTTTAAGGGTTTCACCAATAGCTAGGTAAATTTCTTGCTTGCACCTTTCTGATTTGTGATCAAAGTATTTCATATCAGGGCTACCATAATGTCTTAGAAAGTTAATGAGTGGCATAACTTTCGAATTGGCCATTTCTTCTTTGGCAGTGAAATAAAATGCAGCAAAAGCTTTTACCAGTACTTCATCAGCAACTTCTGCTTTTTTATTCAGCTCTTTTTGGAACCACGATGCCCGCTGAAGTAGTTCTTGCCGTATTGATTGTGCGTGTTCTTCTGAAGAGCCGTTTTCTATTATTGCTACCTTTCTGTATCGTGTACCAGGTATTGTAGCATACTTTGTGCACTTGTTGGCTTTGAGGTGTTTCTTACAAAGGCAACAGAACATCCCCTTCCCCTCGTGAAGTGTCAACCACCATATATGTGTCTTACTACAAAATCCAATTTCGTCATGAATCCATTCATGTTTGAAAACATGAGGCTTAGAAGATTCCTGCCGAGCTAGTTCACTGGCAGTTAGTGACTTACAGCCACAGCGTGTGATTGTGTAATACATGATCACATTCACTTACACTGTCAGTATCAAATATTTCTTTTATCATGCACACATGCTGTGTTTCAGAAAATTCAAATGGTGATGGTCGTGACTGAGAGTGTGAGGAAAGTTTGCCTTCGAAAGCTTGTGCCATTTCTGCAGGTGGTTTGTAACTTGAAACTGGTGTGTCTGAGGATGGTTCGCCAATTAAAGCTGGCGTTTCAGTTTCTATTAAAGTTAAACTAGCTGGTGTTTCTGAAGGTATTTCTTCAGTTGAAGCTTCCTGATTATCGAGGATGTCATTGTTGTCATCTAAAAGATAGATATTTTCTCTTATTTATTTTTTCAAAATTTCCTTCGAGAAGGAAATTCCATTAAAGCGGAAGCACGGCTGCTGACGATGTGGTTTCGTTTTCTATAATTAGCCATTAAATTTGTTTATTTTAAATATTGGCAAACTGATCAATTGTTTATAATACACGCAAATTTTTATAACACAAAAAATACAAATATAGTTAAAAACGTGTGTTCCACACAGAGACGTCTGCTCAGTTTTTTTTTATACTGAACGGCTCAACAAAGAAATAGGATCAGTTATTGTATAAATTGTAATAAATAATTGTAGTGTTGCATATGCAGTGCATATACTACGCTAGGAGCAATCATGACAACAATAAGTACACTAAATAAGTGTTCCTTCAGGCTTCAATTCTCGTATTTCTTGAAAGTATTTGCTTTTCAAGGAAGTGAGAAGGTACTATTTGACAACTACAAAGTACAAGTACAGTTGTATATAAATACAACAGACATTAATATGGCACCGATTATTCTTTGTATAACCCCAGTTTAATGGTCTACAAGCCTGAAGTGCGACAATGGGAAACAAAGACAACAGAATCAATTTAAATATTAACTGAATTGATAATGTTGTGCGTGTGCCGTGGAGTGTGGATACAGTTCGTATAGTATTGAACCCAACAATTAAAATTTGCAATGTACACACACCTAAAATGTCGCGGCTTATAAATTTACAAATATATTATTATTTAGCTATTGTCTATTATTATAGTTTACTAAATCTTAGTAAACTATAATGTTTACACAGCAATATTCTTATTCCTACCTCTGTCAATACTCTTATTCCTACCTGATCCTTGCCGTGGAGTTTTGTTTAGGAAAAAGTTTGAAAATGACTCTATAGTTCGCTGACGCTTCATCACGTTTACTTTAGTCTTCGCTCAGTTCCCAGTGTTCCCACACGTGCATGCATGTGAGTGGATTGTGCCTTCGCGTTTCTCGTACGTTTAATTGAATTAATAAGAACGCCCGCCAAAAATTGTTCTCGATCGATCGGTTTTAGATACTTTAGATACTCATACACTACCCATAGTGTCACTTTGTTAAATGTACGGAAAAAAATATAATGGTTACATATCTCAGAAATATATATGAGGTGATTACACTATTTTTGCACTATGTATTTTATCGTTTTTAACAAATACATAAACAAACTCCAAGCCGCTCATAGGCGGTAAACACTGGTGCTGGAGACGGTAAATTTTACCGGTTACCGCCTGATAAGGAGAACCCTGGGAGTCAAAAAATTTGAAGGCGAGCCCAACCGTGAAAAGCTGGACCTCGCTGGCCAAACTGCTGTTGACAAGGATTGTGATCCTCAACAAAAGAAGGGCAGGTGAAGCGTCGAAGTTGCTGCTCACCTACAACTGTCCTACAACAGCAGACCAGATTGGACACAGTCAGCGAGTATGGAAATCCTGGACAGTTTAAGCCCTTGGGAACGACAGATATCAGTGCGGTAAGAAAATGAATATTTCATGAATGGTTTATGATGGGTGGGAATCTCGAAATACATGAAAGCGCATGCATAAAAATGTCCAAACCAAATTCTATCAAGAACTTTTAATTCACACATCTACTATACTACTAGTGAACTACCATTTAGTCATCTCGATATATAATGACGACTTTAATTTGACTTTTTTATGTATTATTTAAAACATGAGCAGCAGAGTTTTATCAGATGTAACGATACGAGGCAAAGCCGAGTATTTTAGGTCTGATAAAACACGCACTGCGATACGAAATATTAATAGCTCACATAATATTGATGACTTGAAAATATGTCTTTCCAATAAATAAATTTACAGTTATTGTTGTCTTTGAGACCTGCATGGTTGCAAACTTCGGAGCACAATTGTGATATAGATTGAGAGCAATAATTTTGTGCACATGCAACCATCGTCAAAATGAAAGCGGTGGAGGTGTTGGTAAATTTAGATTCTGCAATGGAATTTGACCTACAAGTTTAACGATTCATGTGTAGAATCTTTTTTTCTATATTATTATATTACTATAGTACTATTTTGTATTACTATATTACTATATTTCTATATATTTCTATATTATTACTATATTACTATATTATACTTTATTACTATAGGAAATTAACGGCGCACTTTATTAACGCGACATAAATTAATGTGTCATCTAATTAACGCAAATTGCTTTCAGGTACTTCTAAAATTGATTTAATTAACGCGAATCTGACAGTTTATGGTTAACAAGTTAATTTTATAACTAACGTGAGTCGAAGGATATAAACACAACAGCAAAAGTTTAATATTATATACCACCGATTTAAACAGTACGCAAGTAGATATATCAAAACTGTAACGTTAAAAATTACAGTCATTTGAGCCAATGTACAGTATATAAAATATATAGTTCAGCTTAAGGTTCTGACAGCAGGGGCGTGGCGAACGAATCCAGATTGGGGGGAAGGGCGTCATACCATAATGACCAGCTGTTTCAATGAAAATGACCAACTTTTTCGTGTTGTTTATCTGACACATTTCTATAAATACAACTGTAATCCCGCCCCTTAGAAACATTGTCATTTGACCCTAGAAACGGTCAATTTTGAACAGCCCAACATGCTTTGCAAACGCATGTTGTTTCACAATCTAACGGAATCAGCTGTATTTCCCAATATTTTCCAAAATTGAAAATTATGGAACTTACCCGTGTGCATATTACAAAACCAATGCACTGAATCAATAATTCATGAAACGAATCATAGAATTATCACAAAATTTGAGCCTTCAGCTCCAATGGTCAGTGGTCTGAAAATTGCTGTACTTAGCTTCATTGCAGTATATACGTAATTGTAATCGGCGTTATTAATTTTTATAAAGATTTGAAATTATTTTACAGTTGGCATGGCAGTAGTATTTCCTCAATATATTTCAACAAAAAATATAACATTTCCTTTAATATTTCAAAGTTCAGAATTATTTTCAAAGTTCAGAATTATTGGGGGGGGCGCGCACCAGTCGCCAGGCCCTTGTCTGACAGTGACAGTGATAGTGACAGTGAAGAGGTGGAATGATGTTTTTGTTTTGAGGTTCAATATGATGTATTTTGAGTTAAAAGAGTTCCTGTTATATAAACAAATCAAGGTCTTTTTAATTAACGATAACTAAAATTGCATGCTTGAAATTAACGACAACATAAATTAACATTAATTAGGTTAATGCGAATTTTTATAATCCGCGTTAATAAAGTGCACCGTTAATTTCCCATAATAAGGGTATATTTCTATATTACTATTACTATACCACCACCACTACTATACCACTCTTATCGCGCTGCATCTGCGGATTTGATGCACCGTCGGTAGTGGTAGCAAAAGTAAAATCTACATGTAGGAAGTCTCACCAATATTGAAATGAGCTCATAGCGATTTTTATATTTTTTAGGCTTGACATGGTTGAGATAAGAGGAAAGAAGGATGGAAAGTTGCAGTAATCCTTACCCCTGAAATGAAATCAACCTTATAAGTTATTTGTAGGATTGAGAATAGTATAATAATAAACATATAATACTTTTTGTTTGTGGAAACACCACATAAATTTATTATCTGCAAATAAAAATTAAATTAACGTAAATTTATTAGGTATCGACCTGTTGAATTCTTTGCGATCGACCATTGGGGTAGCGGAAAAGAATCCATACGTTTTCGCCAGAGCCAACCGCGATTCGCTTGAATCTCTAAGAGGACCGGATTGCCTTAGAAGTTGTACTATAGAATGTGTCCCAAAATTGAAAAATCCCAAAAACATCACGGGTACAGGACTCCAAAAGTATATAGCAACAATAAGTCAAGTCCTCTCGCTGAAAGAACAGGAGATTGACTGGCTTGCAAGACACCTTGGACATGACATTAGGACCCACCGGGAGTATTATCGCTTGCATGAGTCCACAATAGAACTAGCTAAAGTCAGCAAACTACTTTTGGCTGTGGACTGCGGAAAGGCAGGATCGCTAAAGGGCAAAAGTCTGGACGAAATTGATATCGAAGGTGGGTTAAGACTGAAAGTATACTTATGTCATGAAATCGAAGATAATCTAGTCTATATACCGCGATTCCTAATTCCAAATTTTAATCAATGGAATTGCATAAGACATCTATTATCCACAACAACCATAATTTCAACGAGATAAAATGGCCAACATGCCACACGCAGGATATATAACCAGTGCCAGTGGACATAACAAGTCAAATTTTGACACATCAATGTTTCAGGTTCACACAGAAAGATTTTTTTTCAATTTCACAAAGATTAATAAAGAACGAAGTGACCATGCACAAATCCTGTCAAATAGCAGGGTATTAAAACTTGGTTCACATATATAGTTGTAACCATATATTGTAATTCATTTGCCGCCGGATGTAATAGAGTTTCGATAAAATGTCTGCAAACAAGGCAGAGAAAGAGTGATTTTACATATAGCAGACAAAAGAGAAGAAAGATCCTGACTATTAAAGGATACAGCAATATTTTTTTTATTATTTCATTTTAAAGAACTTTTAAAATTATATTTAAATATTTTTACCGATTTCGCGTAACTTTATTATTTTTTGAAATATTTGAACAAAAAAAATACAAATCGCGAGCTTTGCGCCATCTTGGATTTTGCGGATATGCATGTAACATCATAAGCAGGGTCACGCAAGAATTTTATCCATAGAGCAATCGCTTATTATAAGCCCAAAATCATATACTTCAGCAACTATTTGAAATAAAAAACTGTCTGACGACTTTCAAACAAGACTTACGCACATATTCTAAAAGCTCACTCACATTCAATGAGTGGAGGTTCAATCTGAGCTTTTAGAATACGGGTGTTTATGTTATTTGGTCATTTATATGTGGTTTTATATTTTATAATCACCGATGAGATAAAAATTAATCCAAGATGGCGGATAGCAAATTATTTTTAGTCAAAATATTTCAAGAAATAATAAAGTTACGCAAAATTGGTAAAGGAGATTAACATATAATTTTAAAAGTTCTTTAAAATAAAATAATAATAAAATATATTGCCGTATCTCTTTAAGCGTCGTCAACGGTGGCAATTGGCAATTGAACTAAAACAAGTGCATCTATAAGCGTCATGCAGATTGTTTTTAAAGGAAAATTTGTTGTTATCCTTATTAGGCCGGGCCATTTATACGAGACAAAATAAAGTCGCAATTGACATAAGATGCGACTTATATTTGCAAATTTCTTTTATAAGCGTCCAACCAAAGAATGCTATTAAAACGCCACAAATTACTCAAATTATTTTTCTAGATATTTCTGAGCTAGATCTCAGTGAAGACGAAGAAGATGAAAACAATGAAGAATCTGATAAATCCAAAGCTGTCGCAAGTTATTATTATTGCCATTACCATTACCATGACCGTCACCATGACCATTACTATTACTATTACTGTTTTTGTTGTTGTTGCTGTTGCTGTTGTTGTTGTTGTTACTGTTGTTTTGTTGTTGTTATAGTGTTGTTGTCATTATTACTCTTGTTCTTACTGTTGTCGTTGTTGTTATGTTTTAGATGTTTTTGTTGGTTGTTGTTGCTGTTATCTATTACTATTACTGTTTTTGTTGTTGTTGCTGTTGCTGTTGTTGTTGTTGTTACTGTTGTTTTGTTGTTGTTATAGTGTTGTTGTCATTATTACTCTTGTTCTTACTGTTGTCGTTGTTGTTATGTTTTAGATGTTTTTGTTGGTTGTTGTTGCTGTTACTGTTATCATTACTATTACTGTTGTTGTTACTGTTCTGTTGCTGTTGCTGTTACCATGGATTGTAAAATAACTGGATAGGAAACTGTAGTCACATGGCATATTTCCATTCCGCTGATTGGCTGAAAGTCCTTTGTTCTTGCTCGAGAGATGTTGAAACCATAGATATAGGAGACCTCGATTGCTGACTCGGCTCAACAGGGCAAAAATCATAGAACAAGATAGGGGAAAACCATGATTTTTGCATTTTACGTCGTCCTACAGCTTCCGATCCCGTTCTATCACTTTATTTTGGCAAGAACTAACTGGTGTGAAGGTTTTGGATGAATATTTGTTACAATCAATACAATTTACAAATCAAGCGGGCAAGATTGGGCAGGCCTGCAGTTTCGAGTGCTATTCGTCTTTAGTTTCTTCCTGTTTATTCCTTCAGTCTTTTACGAGTTTTTTCTCAAGTAATGTGATATATATCTAACTATTCCAAAAGCTACTACTGTTTATTTTGTTCTTTCGTTGTTATTTCGACCAAAATTACTATTTTCATCTGAAAATTCTAGGGCGTTCTATTCTATTAAAATATCTGGGGGGTTTTATCGAAAAGAATGCTTGAATGTCGGCCTGAATCGTGTTCATCGTATTGGTGCAAGGCAGACGTGGGGATTTAAAAGATGGTATTCGCTTTTCCTTCCATAAGTAAGTCTATGAAACGCACACATCATATATTTGTACACTATATAAAGTCTATAACTTACATCATATAAACAGAATAGTTTAATATTAATAGAATAAAAACAATTTGTTTTGTAAATTATCCTGTAATGACAACGTCACAACAAATGTAGTTTTGAGTTTGCTAGCTACAATATAAAACTATTTACAGTTTTAATAAAAGAATATTAGACCAAACAACTTGTTTTGATGTCTGTGTCAATCTGTGTTAGGAGTCTCTCTCTCTATATATATATGCATGTTGACAACCACTGTCATAGAGGTCCTTGTCCTGTTCAAGGTCAAAAATGTTTTACTTTTGTTCACATCAGTGAACCAAAAATACATCTTCCCCTTTGTACTATTGGATTTCCTATAACCAATCCCAGCCTGCTAAAAAATGAAATGGGCAGACTGGATGCCAATCAAATATCCAGTCTTGTCAGGGTTCGCACACTTTCTCCAATTTAAAATTCCATGACTTCCCATGACTATTTTTTTCAAAATCCATGACCTGGAAGTCTGGAATTTCTGAAATTCGTTAATATTTTAACGATAACAGTTTGTTAATATTTTAACAAAATTCACTTCGCTCTTGCAAAAATCTGTTATATAACAGCAATTCATATTATTGTTATAACTGGTAAATTGAAAACAGCAATTCATATTATTGTTATGACTGGTAAATTGAAATAAGTAATTTTGATTTTCCAGGATTTCCAGGCCTGGATTTTGGAATATTGAAATTCCATGACATTCCAGGACCCGTACGAACCCTGTCTTGTGTGAGAAACACTTCACACCCGATGATTATATTAACCCATCGATTTGCAATGCGCCCTACTTTATTATTTTACTCTGTCTAACGCCAGACAATTTTACTCATCAAGGGGAGAGCAGTGGCACTTAATGGGTTAACTGGCCTATCTGCCCATGTGTCTAGTTAACCCATTGAGTCATTTTGTGCCCTATTTTATTATTTTACTCTGTCTAACGCCAGACAATTTTACTCGTCAAGGGAAAGTGCTGATGCTTAAGTCGGCTGTCTCAAGGGGAGAGTGCCTGAAGGGGAGAGTGCTGATTGTGGAGAGCAATCAATAAAAGGCCAATCCAACTTATCCAAGAAATATCTAAACGAAGATGCCGTCCCATCTATTTTTGATTATCAATGATGAATCAATCAGGTTTCTTGGAGAGAACTAGATACTGTGAAGGTTTTTGATGCATACCAGACAAATTAGTCAGTTTCTTCAAACTAGTTTCCATTGAAAACTTTCGCTGTCACTAGTTCTCTCTACAAACCTGATTGATTCATCACTTTTCACTGTCCAGGCCATATAGACTTAGATCCCTTGACATCTGCAGCAGCAAGGAGGTTGTCAAAGTCACACTAAACAGAGCATCAGAATTTTCGCACCAGCAGACCAAATAAATCAAGTAAAATAGGTTTTAACTTCAAAATATATACTTCACAATATTATTCCTTGTTATATATCCCAGCCGAGATCCTCGAGAAAAAAAGCACCCAAAGAACCAAAACCTTTATTTTCTGTAACAAAATGTCTCGAACTGCTCAACCGACTATGTGATGATTTTTAGATAACATTAAGCGATCGATTATTTCGTCTTTATTAAACTTAAATTGTACAAATATTCATCCACAACCTTCACACCAGTTAGTTCTTGCCAAAATAAAGTGATAGAACGGGATCGGAAGCTGTAGGACGACGGAAAATGCGAAAAACATGGTTTTTCCCTATCTCGCTCTATGATTTTTGCCCGGTTGAGCCGCCATTTTGAATGCTCATGAGTGTCACGCTCGTGCGTTATAGAAAACATTAGAGTCAGCAATCTAGGTCTCCTATATCTATGGTTGAAACCTAGTTGAAAATCGGCCATACAATGGCAAATGATGGCGAAGTATTGTTGATTTTCCTATGTTTTTGACTGAGATTTTTTACCTTTTCATGTTTTTTTTTGACAATGTGTTTGTTCTTGTTTTTTTGGTATTTTATACTGATCTATGGCCAAAATGAACTAGCCTAAGCCACACAACAACTCTTAGGCAAGTGTTCGTCTTTATTGTTTACATTATTGTCAGTTTACAACAGAAGTAATTGCGTTGCCAATAGCAGCCTATTTCTTCCGTATTTTGCGAAAATTGCGACGCAAATTTGGAATAATTAATCTGTGTATTTTTACCCATCGCATACTTCAACAAATAGATTTATTCTTTTATTGTGGCTTAGTCATATTTACAAACATTAAACTTGGTTTTAAATTGTTATTTTTTTCGATTTTAATTTGTGTTTTGAAAGCCAATTTGCAACTAGCTTTAGACTGTGACGTCACGAAGTTTCCTAACCAGTTATTTTACATTCCATGCTGTTACTGTCAGTGTTGTTGTTACTGTTGTTGTTGTTGTTGTCATTGTTACTGCTGTTACTGTTGTTACTGTCAGTGTTGTTGTTACTGTTGTTATTGTTACTGCTGTTACTGTTGTTGTTACTGTCAGTGTTGTTGTTACTGTTGTTGTTATTATTGTTACTGCTGCTACTGTTGTTGTTACTGTCAGTGTTGTTGTTACTGTTGTTGTTGTTGTGATTGTTACTGCTGTTACTGTTGTTGTTACTGTCAGTGTTGTTGTTACTGTCAGTGTTTTTGTTCTTGTTACTGCTGTTACTGTTGTTACTGTCAGTGTTGTTGTTACTGTTGTTATTGTTACTACTGTTACTGTTGTTGTTATTGTTACTGCTGTTGTTACTGTCAGTGTTGTTGCTACTGTTGTTGTTGTTGTTGTTATTGTTACTGCTGTTACTGCTGTTGTTACTGTCAGTGTTGTTTTCACTATTGCTGTTGTTGTTACTGATGTTGTTGTTACTATTGTTGTTGTTCCTGTTGTTGTTGTTACTGTTGTTGTTATTGTTGTTGTTACCCTTGTTGTATATTCACTGACATATACTTAGATGTGCAATTCCTTTGGTGCACGTCTCGTGCAGTTCAACACTTAAGCCCTCGGTGAACAAGGAAACATTGTCATGGAAACATTGTTTCCCACTATTGTTTTGCCATCTTTCCCAAAGTTTGCAAACACTAGAAAACATTAGTAAAGAACATAGGGAAACATCAAATGTTTCTGAATTTGGTTGGAAACATTTGATAGGAAAGAAAAAATAAAAGTGGCAGATCATAATTGGTAGACATACACAACTCCATTTTAAAAACTATGGCACTAGCGATCTTTCTAAAAACAGAAATGTAATAGGCATGTCCGTCAAAAATATACTATATGCAAATCTCCACATATTTTCTGATAATGTGTTGAAGCTCTTGTTGTTCTTCCTAAGCCAAGCAATACAATCACAATTATTTTAATAAATTTATTCTGTACAAGTGTTATCATTTACGGCATTTTTTTCTTCATATTAATGCACACTTTTTAACTGCAGTTTCCAAAATGAAGAAGTCAGCTGGTTCTCGGAGACGGAGGGATAGCGAGCTAGACCAAGACAAATCCCAAGGTAAAATATTTCACAATGTGTTTCAAAGTTTAACCGAGATCGAAAAAATGAAAACATGGAAAAGTGCATTTGGTTTAACTTTAACATGTCCGATGGAAAACACAAGTCTGCACTAATTAACAACAAGACGCCTGCTCAGGCGTTCACACTGATCTGAAAATGCCCGCCCGTTCGGTGGTTGCTGGGTTTTAGACCATAAGTTCCGATATATCTGCAAACATCCATCGACAAACTAGTGCATTTGTTTCTGTCATAGTTACAAAGTCAAAGAAATGAAGAACGTCCAACCAAACCGACAAAGACTGGTCAACTGGTAAGTCTGGTGAGGTCAACAAACTTGTCCACTGCTTGGTTCTGTTTTTGAATTGAACGAGCATGATATGAACGTAGCATCTTGGGGAACAAGTGGTTTTGACATGTTGAAATTAGAGGTCACTAGGCATACTTGAATAGTCAAAGTAGCATTAATATGGCCGAAATGATTTTTATTATATTCATATAGTTCTTTAATAGAAACAATTTTTACACAAAACCTGTTTCAATGTTGTTTCAACTGTGTGTGTTATGCACGTTTATTTCCGGCAAATATTATATTTAGTTTGACTTTTTAGAACACGTAAGGAAATACGAACAAATACCAAAATATAATTGATAAGAACATATAAAAAATAAGAACATGTGATGCGCTAACGCAAACTCGATTTCTCGACCACGAAAACCCCCAGAAAATTAGGGATTTAAAGCACTTGATCTTTCAGGTCGGAAATTGGCAGATAGTATACTTCAAAATAAGTTTTCCGTTTTTATAACGTAGAAAAAACCATTCTAAAGCAAAACTAAACCCCAATCCTAGCTTATCAGTGATAGTAAGCGTAAACAGGTCGAAAACAGTTTTATTTCTGACTTTTAATTGAACTGATATTTGGTTATTTTGTATTATTCCTTAAAAATTTATACTAAAACAACTATTAGCCTCAGGCTCAATGATTACGGTGAATATTCATCTCAACTTCGTCTCGGTGAATATTCACAGGTAATCACTTCGCCTTTGGCGAAAAATTGTTAAGTAATCACCGCGCGTTCGGTGACTAATTACACTGACCTAGCTGAAATGGAAATTGCTAGATAGTATACTTCAAAATAAGATTTCCGTTTTTATATAATTTTTTAAAAATATAAGTTAGGTTAGATTTAGGGTTATAGTATTAGGCCTATTAGGGTTAAGGTTAGTGTTGCAGTGTTTCTTGTAAGCACATGCTTTCAAAACGCCTTGTGTGACTTTATAGCTTTATTACAAAGTCAAAGACTCAAAGTTGTTTTTATCGATTTCTGCTTAGAATGTAAACGCAATAACAGCATGACTTTTTTACCAGACTTAGAATAAAAAAATAGAAAAATAAAATAAAAAATTATATGGTTCGAAATAATAACACTTTTCACTTTACAAGTTTCGAAAACACAATACAGCGGTCAGAACACAATGAAAACATGACATATCAACATCACGAGGTTTTGTCCAACTGTCGGACCGTGTTTTTGCCATTTGTTTGAACTGAATGTTTCGGAGTTTTAAATAAGTTTTATATTATCTGTGAATATGTTTGGCGCAATATGACAGTAAAATAATAAAGGAATCCTACCTTTCAAGTTAATTTAAAAACAACATTTTTTCCTTATTTTGTTTTCTGGGGACGATTTTTTCAATATTTCATCGACTTTGAAACCAAATTTGTGCAATCATTCTTTTGAAAAAGATTATTTACTAGTCAGGGGGTAAATAAAGCATCAGATTTATCAGTCAACTAGCCAATGAGAACGTGCAAAAGCTCTTTGATATGCAAAATTTATACCGAAAGCATATATTCACTGAGCTGCAAAATGAACATATATAGTGATCTTGTAATCACCGAGCCTGAGGTGACTAATTGTTTTAATATAAATTCAGTTTTGAAAAATAATACTATATACGAACGTTGAAAATATAATTTACTTCACTTTTCCCCTTTTGAGCCAAACAAATCCAGCGGTTGGAAGCGTGTTGCCCGATTCTGCTATTTTCCTGTTTTAAATTGCCAAATAAATTGTCCAAGGTGTCTAAAAGGTGCTTTCGTCTTTAGGAAGTAGCATATATTGTTGTTTCTTTTGCTTTCAGAGGAATACTATAAGTGCTTTTTCTTCCATGATTTCTTTTTGGCAGCCATTTTGTCAACCTCGTATCCAGGCTCTTTCAACTACGTGCCTCGCTAGAGGAAAGACCCTGGTCCAGGCTGGTCACATGTCTCCCAGATTTTTGGAGATAACAATTGGGACTTATGGGGGTAGGGAAGGCAAATGTGGCGTTCGAGCTCAAAACAATACAAGGAGTGTGAATAAAGCAACACAAAGGACTATACCATGAAACAAAGTTTTTATTGGCATGAATTTTCCATAAAATACGTCATAATGGTTAATTGTAAGGGACGAAGTTGTTAATAAGGCCTGGCTGGACGTTTGAAATTAAACTCTTAAAAACGTTAATAGACAATAGATGTTCTTCTCGAAGCTCACTCAACGACACAGTCTCGGGTTTAGTTCTACATATCAACAAGAAAAGGCAGATTGCTGTCGAGATATTGCTGTTGAGTGTTGTATTAAGCAGAACATTTGTTTAGCCAGAATCATGATTGGATATTAATTGAAATTTGTAAGCGATTATAAAATAACCGCTGTTCGCGTAAAGTCTGTGTGGTCGATTTTCCAATTTTGTTGAACTGAACATCTTCAATGAAGAATAAATAAGTACATTACATTGAAAATACAAAAAGTGTCCCACTTCTGCTTCTGTAGTTTGTTGTAATTTACTGTAATTTGTTCTGTTTTTCTGTAGCGATTAGCGATTTATCGGCAAATACTGTGATAAAACTTAAATTTCGTTCCTTTTATGCAATGAAACTAATGAAAAATGTATTATTTCCCTTTGCTACAAATTATCATATTTAAAAATAGAAAAAGCTAAGTTTTATCGCGGTATTTGCCAATAAATCGGTAATCGCTACAGAAAAACAGAACAAATTACAGTAAATCACAACAAACTACAGAAGCAGAAGTGGGACACTTTTTGTATTTTCACTGTAATATACAGAATATTTAGCTTGATATTCTCTCTAAGTCCTATATTTTGGGTATTTATAGGAGCGTATTTATTTGCAATCTATTGTTTCACCAGTGAAATATGATCAATGTTTACATAAAATTGTATACTGTGCTCTTGCTTTAGCTGGGTGAAAGCTTTGTATTCTGTTTTAGAATTTCTTTTAAAACTTTTAACATGTTACGACAGATAAGGCATACAAGTAAGGCCCAATATATTTCTAAAGTTTGTACTTTAATACGCGCAGTTAAATTTAAATTAACTTAAATGTTTGTTTATATGAGGGAGTCAAACGGCCGAGTCAAATTTGCAGCATTTTTGCTTAAACTTCTTCGCTTCATATTTTCATTCTTATATCAAAGGAATCATTATACAGACTGATACATGCAGTTTTAAAATAGCAAGTTTATTTACTCTCTATTGCTTTATATAGCTTAGTTTTTCCCTTTGCCTGCCGTTTGTCTTTTAACGTATAAACGCCAAGCTGAGACTCTCTATTAAAAACATATGTGCATGACGAATTAAAACTGTAAAGTAATTTCGAAATATTATAATATATATATATATATAATCCCCTGGGTACTGTCTTTTTGAAACACAAGGGAATGGAATATGTACTAAAAACTCCATAGACATACTATCAATACTCATGTGCACACTACGATATATAATTATCACTTATTTACTGAGACCTCGGGAAACAGTGTGTTTTGTGGACCCGAGACCGTCGATGTTTCCCGAGGCGAATCCGAGGGAAACATCGACGGTCGAGGGTCCACAAAACACACTGCTTTCCCGAGGTCTCAGTAAATAAGTGATAATTATATATCAATAGTCAAAGAAACAACAAATTAAAGAACAAATGAACGTAAATACAGGAAATATTTTATTGTTAAAACGTTATATTAAACACTGGCTACACTGCAGTTACTTAATTTAAAGCGAAAGTTTTAATTACGTACTAGGCATGTCCAAAGGTCGCATCTTCACGTGATGGCGCACATGATTTTTTTTTGTTATTTACCGGTCGATAACGTATTATCTCCCTCTCGCGCTGTTGCGAAGGAGACAGCCTAATTTCGTCACTCTCACATGATATGCTCTCAACCAATAAAACACTAGAAAAATGCGACTTTGACTATTGATATATAATAATACATTTTCTTATTGTTATTTCTATATGCACATGTCGTGTTATGACTGTAATCGAGCCGTTCCACTCATGATTAAAATTTACGGCAATTTACAATAGACTCTCTGTTGGCTGCTATAGGCAAATGTTCTTTGCTTGTCCTCGAGTATATTACAAATCCTTTCCTAGTAATTCTTTGTGATTTTTCCAATATGAAACTGAAAGATTCCAGCATGTAGATCTTGCATAGCGACATCCCAAATGCAATCCACAAAGAATACATATACAAAGACATCTCACCCATTGATTTTGCAGCACAGGCTGTTACTATTCATTAAAATTACATGCATTTGTTAAAATACACACACTCTGAACTTTATCGCATTGATATCAGCAACTAGATCGGTAAAACAAACTTAGCCCCCCACCCTTATGTAAAAATTTTGTTATCTCCCAAAATCTGGGAGACACGTGACCAGCCTGGACCAGGGTCTTTCCTCCAGTGAGGCGCGTAGTGGAAAGAGCCTGGGTACGAGGTTGCCATTTTGTTTGGAAAGCCGAATAGTTACTGCTCTGAGCAACCTGAGCAGTAACTATTGGCTCAGAGTTACTGCTGAAGGAGCCAATTAGAATGCTTGAAAACCATTTTTCAATACTGAATTTATACTAATGGCTGATATTAATTCAAAACCACTACATCGAAAAAATAAAATCCTCCTTTACAGTCGGTATGTTTGTCCAAATTATCATGGCATTTTAGTGTTACTAGTGTTATATTTGTAAATGCCTCATATACCTATTTCCTAACACAAAAGAAATTTGGTGGCAATATTTGCTCTCCATCTATCAAATTCACACTTGTTCTTCGTAAAGCTCCAAAAATATATTAATGTTCAATGCAAAAAGGGAATGGAATTTGCAGTATGTCAGCATTTCCTTGATATTAATGCTTACTTTTTCACTGCAGTTTCCAAAACGAAGAAGTCAGGTTCTCTGAGGGATAACGAGCTGGACAAAGACAACTTCTGCGGTAAGTTTTTCAATCTTTAACTTTTTTTGTAAAGTCTAGCCAAGACCAGGAAAATAATAAGATATGGAAAAGTTCAATAATTGATAAAATTATTGGGGGAGTGTCCACAGCCCCTGCCCTCTTTGGGTGTTGCTGCGTTTTAGATGATCAGTACATATATTTACAAACAACCATTGACAAACTAATGTATGAAGACAACAATTAAGGGTCTTAAATCTTCCACTCCTAATTATTATAATGAATTTCTTTTTCTCATAGTTACAAAGTCAAAGAAACGGAGAACATTCAACCAAAGCGACGAAGACTGGTCAACTGGTAAGTCTGGTGAGGTCAACAAACTTGCCCACTGCTTGGTTCTGTTTTTGAATTGAACGAGCGTGATATGAACTTAGCATCTTGGGGAAACAATTTGCATCCGGCAATGATATGGTGGCATACAAGTGGTTTTGACATGTTGAAATTAGAGGTCACTAGGCATAGATGAATAGTCAAAGTGGCATTAATATTTCGAAATGATTTTATTGTATTCATATAGTTCTTTAATAGAAACAAAGTTTTGCAAAAAATCTGTTTCAAAGTTGTTCCAACTTCGTTTGTTATGCACGCTGATTCCAACGTGAACAGTTATATTCATAAATAGCTCATATACCTATTTCCTAACCCGAGACAAATTTGGTGGCAATATTTGCTCTCCATCTATCAAATTCATCCAATGCCAAACCGTTCTTCGTAAAGCTCTAACAATATATTAATGTTCAATGCAAAAAAGACAGTTGATTAAGGAACAAAGTGAGCATTTCAAGAATGTTAAATTAATAAATATTTCAATCAGCAGTCTCGCAGTTTTTGTGACTGATGAAAAAATAAATTCACTTCTGTGGAAATTTTATCAGCAAACTCCATCGAGTTCTTTTGAGTGCCCCCAAATCGTTCTTGCAGTATGTCAGCATTTCTTTAATATTAATGCATACTTTTCACTGCAGTTTCCAAAATGAAGAAGTCAGATTCTCGGAGGGATAGTGAGCTAGACAAAGACAACTTCCCAGGTAAATTTTTCTCTAAGTATTTCAATGTTTAACTTTTTTTGTTTTAGTCTAGCTCAGACCAGGAAAATAATAAGATATGGAAAAGTTCAAAAGTTGATAAAATTATTTGGGGGAGTGCCCAAAGCCCCCCCCCCCTTTAGGTGTTGCTGTGTTTTAGACCATAAGTACATATGTTTACAAACGAACATTCACAAACTATTGCATGAATACAGCAATTAATGTTCTAATTAAATCTTCCACCCCTAATCTTAATAATGATTTTTTTCTGTCATAGTTACAAAGTCAAAGAAATGAAAAACATTCAACCAAAGCGACGAAGACTGGTCACCTGGTCAATTCAAAAACAGAACCACTGCTTGGTTCTGTTTTTGAATTGAACGAGCATGCTACTGAACTTAGCATCTTCGGGAAACAATTTGCATCCGGCAATGTTGTGGTGGCATACAAGTGGTTTTGACGTGTTGAAATTAGAGGTCACTAGGCATAGATGAATAGTCAAAGTGGCATTAATATTTCGAAATGATTTTTATTGTATTCATATAGTTCTTTAATAGAAACAAAGTTTTGCAAAAAACCTGTTTCAAAGTTGTTCCAACTTCGTTTGTTATGCACGCTGATTCCAACGTGAACAGTTATATTCATAAATAGCTCATATACCTATTTCCTAACCCGAGACAAATTTGGTGGCAATATTTGCTCTCCATCTATCGAATTCACACTTGTTCTTCGTAAAGCTCCAAAAATATATTAATGTTCAATGCAAAAAGGGAATGGAATTTGCAGTATGTCAGCATTTCCTTGATATTAATGCTTACTTTTTCACTGCAGTTTCCAAAACGAAGAAGTCAGGTTCTCTGAGGGATAGCGAGCTGGACAAAGACAACTTCTGCGGTAAGTTTTTCAATCTTTAACTTTTTTGTAAAGTCTAGCCAAGACCAGGAAAATAATAAGATATGGAAAAGTTCAATAATTGATAAAATTATTGGGGGAGTGTCCACAGCCCCTGCCCTCTTCGGGTGTTGCTGCGTTTTAGACGATCAGTACATATATTTACAAACAACCATTGACAAACTAATGTATGAAGACAACAATTAAGGGTCTTAAATCTTCCACTCCTAATTATTATAATGAATTTCTTTTTCTCATAGTTACAAAGTCAAAGAAACGAAGAACATTCAACCAAAGCAACGAAGACTGGTCAACTGGTAAGTCTGGTGAGGTCAACAAACTTGTCCACTGCTTGGTTCTGTTTTTGAATTGAACGAGCGTGATATGAACTTAGCATCTTGGGGAAACAATTTGCATCCGGCAATGATATGGTGGCATACAAGTGGTTTTGACATGTTGAAATTAGAGGTCACTAGGCATAGATGAATAGTCAAAGTGGCATTAATATTTCGAAATGATTTTTATTGTATTCATATAGTTCTTTAATAGAAACAAAGTTTTGCAAAAAATCTGTTTCAAAGTTGTTCCAACTTCGTTTGTTATGCACGCTGATTCCAACGTGAACAGTTATATTCATAAATAGCTCATATACCTATTTCCTAACCTGAGACAAATTTGGTGGCAATATTTGCTCTCCATCTATCAAATTCATCCAATGCCAAACCGTTCTTCGTAAAGCTCTAACAATATATTAATGTTCAATGCAAAAAAGACAGTTGATTAGGGAACAAAGTGAGCATTCCAAGAATGTTAAATTAATAAATATTTCAATCAGCAGTCTCGCAGTTTTTGTGACTGATGAAAAAATAAATTCACTTCTGTGGAAATTTTATCAGCAAACTCCATCGAGTTCTTTTGAGTGCCCCCAAATCGTTCTTGCAGTATGTCAGCATTTCTTTAATATTAATGCATACTTTTCACTGCAGTTTCCAAAATGAAGAAGTCAGATTCTCGGAGGGATAGTGAGCTAGACAAAGACAACTTCCCAGGTAAATTTTTCTCTAAGTATTTCAATGTTTAACTTTTTTTGTTTTAGTCTAGCTCAGACCAGGAAAATAATAAGATATGGAAAAGTTCAAAAGTTGATAAAATTATTTGGGGGAGTGCCCAAAGCCCCCCCCCCCCTTTAGGTGTTGCTGTGTTTTAGACCATAAGTACATATGTTTACAAACGAACATTCACAAACTATTGCATGAATACAGCAATTAATGTTCTAATTAAATCTTCCACCCCTAATCTTAATAATGATTTTTTTCTGTCATAGTTACAAAGTCAAAGAAACGAAAAACATTCAACCAAAGCGACGAAGACTGGTCACCTGGTAAGTCTGGTGAGGTCAACAAACTTGTCCACTGCTTGGTTCTGTTTTTGAATTGAACGAGCATGCTACTGAACTTAGCATCTTCGGGAAACAATTTGCATCCGGCAATGTTGTGGTGGCATACAAGTGGTTTTGACGTGTTGAAATTAGAGGTCACTAGGCATAAATGAATAGTCAAAGTGGCATTAATATCGCCGAAATGATTTTTATTGTATTCATATAGTTCTTTAATAGAAACAATTTTTACAAAAAACCTGTTTCAAAGTTGTTCCAACTGTGTTTGTTATACACGTTTATTTCCAGCAAATATTATATTTAGTTTGACTTTTTAGAACACGTAAGGAAATACGAACAAATAACAAAATATAATTGATAAGAACATATAAAAAATAAGAACATGTGATGCGCTAACGCAAACTCGATTTCTCGACGACAAAAAACCCCCAGAAAATTAGGGATTTAAAGCGCTTGATCTTTCAGGTTGGAAATTGGCAGATAGTATACTTCAAAATAAGTTTTCCGCAAAATAAGTCTAACGCAAAACTAAACCCAAACCCTAATACTAACCCTAACTCTAACCTAACTTATTTAAAAATTGATATAAAAATGGAAATCGTATTTTGAAGTATACTATCTAGCAATTTCCCTTTCAGCTAGGTCAGTGTAATTAGTCACCGAATGCGCGGTAATTACTTAACAATTATTCGCCAAAGGCAAAGTGATTACCAGTGAATATTTACTGAGACGATGTTGAGATGAATATTCACCATAATCACTGAGCCTGAGGTGAATAATTGTTTTAGTATAAATTTTTAAGGAATAATACAAAATAACCAAATATCAGTTCAATTAAAATTCAGAAATAAAACTGTTTTCGCCCTGTTTACGGTTACTGTCACTGATAGGTTAGGGTCGGGGTTAAGGTTCAGGTTAGTGTTGCAGTGGTTCTTGTAAGCAATCTTTCATTTTTTTGTAAAGTCTAGCCAAGACCAGGAAAATTAGAAGATATGGAAAAGTTCAATAATTGATAAAATTATCGGGGGAGTGTCCACAGCCCCTCCCCTCTTCGGGTGTTGCTGCGTTTTAGACCATAAGTACATATATTTATTAACAGCCATTGACAAACTAGTGTATGAAAACAACAATTAAGGGTTTTAAATCTTCCACTCCTAATTATTATAATGAATTTCTTTTTCTCTTAGTTACAAAGTCAAAGAAACGAAAAACATTCAACCAAAGCGACGAAGACTGGTCAACTAGTAAGTCTGGTGAGGTCAACAAACTTGTCCACTGCTTGGTTCTGTTTTCTTTCTGAACGAGCATGATACTGAACTTAGCATCCTGGGGAAACAATTTGCATCCGGCAATGTTGTGGTGGCATACAAGTGGTTTTGACGTGTTGAAATTAGAGGTCAATAGGCATAAATGAATAGTCAAAGTGGCATTAATATGGCCGAAATGATTTTTGTTATACAGGGTGTCCCAAAAAAAATGATGCCCCCCATCATATTTTGTGGTACTACATCGTTACCTGTAATTCAAATTTTTTCATTTTTTTTTATCAATGAACATATTACATTAATCGTTGCATTTTTTCGCACCAAAATATTTAACCGTTCGCCTTCTAGTTACTTAAGGTGGTGACACCAATATTGCCACTTGTCCAAATTGAGGATATTAGGTTAAACATATTACGGAACGTCACAAAATATTTTAATGGTAAATGGCTACATATATTTTCTAAAACTTGTAATTAGTTGTAGCCAAAATCGTACATTAATTTTCTGTAAAAATAATAAAGCAATCCTCAGAAAAGGGGAAAGACTAGTGCCGGAATCCCAATATTTGCTCTTTCATGGAACAAATTGAACGGAAAACAGCAAATTTAAGGCATTTTCCCAACCTTAGCTTTGCCTTTGTCAATTTGCCAGGGATTTTTCATCTTTTTTTATTAATTTCTACAAGAAACAAAAGTTTAATAATAGAGATAAAAAAATCTTGTTTTTGAGCAAAAAGGTGGGTAGAAACTTTAGAAATCCTTCTGCAAAGTTTGCATTATTTTTAACCTAATTTCCGTAATTTGGATGGGTTGCAAAATTGGTGTCGCCACCTTAAGTATCTCTAGAAGCCGAACGGTTAAGTATTTTGGTGAGATATATACTACGATTAATATAATATGATTGTTTTTCAACCCACTGCAAAAAATTTGAACCTTTGATTAAATATAGCGAAGTAATACCACCAAATATAACGGGGAATTTTTTTTGGGACACCCTGTATTCATTTAGTTCTTTAATAGAAACAATTTTTACAAAAAACCTGTTTCAAAGTTGTTCCAACTTCATTTGTTATGCATGTTGATTCCAACGCGACCTGTTATATTCATAAATAGCTCAGATACCTATTTCCTAACCCGAGACAAATTTGGTGGCAATATTTGCTCTCCATCTATCAAATTCATCCAATGCCAAAACTGTTCTTCGTAAAGCTCCAAAAATATATTAATGTTCAACGCAAAAAAGACAGTTGGTTAGGAAACAAAGTGAGCATTCCAAGAATGTTAAATTAATAAATCTTTCAATCAGCAGTCTCGCAGTTTTTGTGACTGATGAAAAAATAAATTCACTTCTCTGGAAATTTTATCAGCAAATTCCATTGAGTTCGTTTGAGTGCCCCCAAATCGTTCTTGCAGTATGTCTTAATATTAATGCATACTTTTTCACTGCAGTTTCCAAAACGAAGAAGTCAGGTTCTCGGAGGGAAAGTGAACTAGACAGAGACAACTTCCCAGGTAAATTTTTCTCTATGTATTTGAATGTTTAATTTTTTTGTAAAGTTTAGCTACTATGCCTTTCATTTGTTTCTATGCAGTGTCTTTTTTTTCATTCCCAGAAGGTATATGGGCATTGCTAAAAACAATTTCAACAGAAAGCAATTTGAACATCTATCACCGGATAAACTTTCAAAGAATGTGGAAACAATACTCCATCCCTTACCCATTCGGCGCATTTGTACATATTCTTCGTAAAGGCCATTTTTCACTGCAGTCACTTTGCCCGCGCGGGTGGAGCGAACATTACTCAACTTTCTCTGTAGTTGTCTAATCTGTGCATTTTTTGTCCGCCTGACCGCTTGCTCAATTCAACTTTCTTGGCGTGCCCAAAATTGGTCGCTCCACCCGCGCAGACAAAGCAACCGCAATGGAAAATGGCCTTAAGGTAATTCCGCAGTTTTGCATTGCGCACTTTTACTGCGCACAACTTATAATTTTATCCATTACATTTACACGTACCGGTTTAAAAAAATCATTTTATGACAATTTTAGGTTACCTCAAAAAAACATCTTTGTTACATTCGTGCAAAGAAATACGTCAAAATCAAGGTTTTCAAAAAAGGCATACAAAAGTGTAGCTAGGGTTCCTTGTGTCTGTTATATATTTATTTACTTGCATTTCACGTTTTAATGCCACAATTCCCTAAAAAGATCGGTGACCCCCGTTTTTTAACTGATAATTTATTTCTTTGATGCATTTTACATTTCATATCCGAAATTAAAAGAAAAATCATTTCTGGATCTTGAAAAAAATACTTTATCAATGCATGTTCTCAAAGAAAGATATGTAAAATAATGTGGAAAACACATTTGTAGATCAGAATTGTACACGTTAGTAGTTTCACTTTGCTCAAAACACAATATTTTTTCAAAAATAATTACAAGATAGGTTTACTAAAGCAAAATCCGCGCTAAAAACGTCAATAAATATCGGGCTATTGTGATTTTGCTGTTACTCGTAATGAGCGTCAAGATGGCGCCATATTGGGGTAAAGGTGGTATATTGTGATTGTCATAACTTCTTAACGAGTTCGGAGTTTGGCGGAATTACCTTAAGAAGCTTTATTCACATGAAAATTTGTATAATTGCGGAACCGATTAATTTGAAAAAAAAAGCATTTTTTATCAAGTAAACCACTAAAGAAGCTTCTTACAGCTAACTTAAAATTGTTGAATAATGTGTGACTGAAAAGCACGGTAGTTGTGAGATCTGTAAATAGAAAGCACAACATAAGTATGTAGCTGCTGCATTTTCTTGTTATTATATTGCTATGTAATAGTTATTGTTTCAGTCCAGTTGCAGAAGGTACTTAATAAGAGAACACATACGATGTTGCAGCTTGATATTTTCTTTTTAAGATCGATCTCGCTCACCATTATATTGTTCAAAGACGAAAAGCTCATCAACAAAACGTAAAGGTATGAACTTCCATCCCTTTTTACCGAATATGTATTTAAATTTAATGTTCAATCATAAGGTTAGAATATTGATGACTAAAAATTTAGGTCAGCAGTGTATAGCTCAGAACATATAGTATTCAACTTTAAAAAAGTACGAAATAGAAATAATATTATGGAAAAAATAGATTTTCCCAACATTAATGGGGCGTACACACAACGATTTTTATATAGTGTAAGACGACAAAGTTTTCAGTGATTTTGCAGATGTAAATCTTTCGATCCCAGACTACATCTACATGCACTAGAGCAAAAGTTTCAGTCTGAATTTGTAAAACTTTCTGGATTCCTTGTTTATCTAGTGTACGAATCTGTGAGGCGTTTACACTACACATCAGTCGTCGATGTATTCGGATCCGATCGTCGATGTATTCAGATCCATCCATTTACACTTACGGGACTTGTGCCACATCTTCAATATTATCTGCCATATTGAATTCACGCTAACATATAATTATATGATCGCGGGAGCAAATATATTTGGATTCACCATGGAAAACGAGTTTATACACGAGAAAATTTTCCACATACAAATGTGTCAGGATATAAAGTTACCACAAATGTTTCCGGGACTAAACCAAGATGATTTACTATAAAGTGAACGTACTTGCGTAAACGGCAAGATGAATCCGGTACTGAAATTTCCTGTTTTGTGATGTATCCGAATACGTTCCGGTTTTGTGATGTATTCAATGTATTTTTCTCCAATGTAAACGGGGTCTCAAAAGGCTGTTAAGATAAACAAGGTCAGTTTTAGCCACCTTAAAGCCTGCACTAGAGCTCCTCGCTTTTATTGAGTGCCATTTTCTGTCTTAGGGAAGCAAGAACATCACAAATGGACGAGAGATGAGAAAAGGGCTGTTCTTGAACACTTGGATAATCACATTCGGGAAGAAAAAGTCCCAAATAAAGACGAATGTGACGCCTACAAGCAAAAGTCTGGCGGCGCCTTGGACAAGCGTGACTGGAAGGCGATAAAGTACTATATAAAAAACCAAATTTACAAGAGAAAGAAGATAACGAAAAGAATGTAAAAAGAAAAGAAAATTTACATGGAACTAGAGCCCATTTGATATATATCTCATAAGGTTGTCAGTCTGTTTTATCCGAGAGGAATCATCAGGTGACTTTTGAGGTATATCAATACTATATTTGCTCTAATGTATGACAATGAGCACTCCTTAGCATTTGGCATGATAATGGGGTGTTCTAGAGTTCAATGAGCTTAATTTTGGATAATAAATAGTACTACAATGTAGTACATTTTTCATTTTGCTTGGATAACTCTTACATTTTAGCCTATGTTGATTTTCCACTTAATCTAATAGTTCAAGTTGAATTATTTTAAATGCAAGACGTATTAACTAAGCGCGGTAGCATGTAAAACATAAGTGATGCAACTATGCTTACATGGAAAAAACTTACTTTTTATTATCCAAAACAGATCTCACTGAACCACAGTGGCGGAAATTCACTTTTTCCGGCTGGGGGAGGCAAAGCCTCTGACAAAACTTTCTAATTTCCGCTTACCCCACCCCCCCTATTGGCACTCGAAAAGGATGTTTTTAGCCCTCTTTCAGGTCACAATTTCCGAAAATTCATCAATTTTCTGTGAAGGTGACCGAGATTTCCGCCACTGCTGAACAATATCATTAATTAATATCATGAGTGGTCGCAGCAAACGAGGACAATGATATCTTATCGAAGTTCAAAATTACGTTCGTACATCACGCGATAAATATAGGTAATCTGGCGATGGCGAGTACAATTAAGGATTATTACTTCGAGTGATGTTTGGAAATTTTGCCAAAATTGGACGAGCCGCCGGGGCGAGCCCATTTCGGCAAATTTCCGAACATCACGAGTAGTATTAATCCCCAATTGTATGCGCAACCTCGCATGATTATACTTATTTATTTTTAGCATATGACAAAATTGGATACTTCTCTCGCCAAAGCCCACTTTCAACCAAAATATAGTACTTTTGCTCGTATTTTCATTTAGTTCTTTTGTTAAAGCAAAATTTGGTGCTTTTGTTCGTATTTTCATCTAGTTCCTCAAAGGTAATTTCATTTCATATTTTTTCAAAATATCTTTCCGCCATTTTGTTTGTTTTGAAAAAATCATTAATTGTACTGTATCGTCAACTAATAGAACAGTATCATGGAATTTGATCAGCCGTTCTTAACGTTTCAATTTCGTTCTTCTCATCAAAGTTTGGAAATATTTTCGCTGGAACCGATCCAGATATGCTGGATTAATAACTGAACAAACTCTAGTCGTTTCTAGGCCGTTATTTCTCGAAACGGAACTTGCTGGACGTCAGGTGTTGCACAACCGAAGCCTGAAGTGGTTGGGGGACAGGGATTGCAGTTTATTAGCATCATTAGAAGAGTATCCAGGGGGTCGACTACAGGGTTCCAAATGAGGCCAGTTGTGCCTGGGAACCCAATCTCATAAATTTTCCAATTTTAGGCAAAAAATGGTAAAAATTGAAAAACTAGGCAACCAGAAAGCGTAAACTAGGACGCCCTGATATAGGTCACAAAATCGGTTGTCAGTTTGTGTTGTGTACGTGTATTCTACATTATCGTGCTTAATTTCAAAATATTCTGCTATTTTAATACCGTATGTAAAGCTGTTTCCGTATTATATTATTAATCTCTGTTTTAGGAATGTTTTTATTCTGTCAACATGTCTAGATTTAGATTAAAACAACGTCATTACGCGCGATTGGTATTTTGGAGTCTGGGAAAGTCCTAGTTTTTGACGACAACAGCCTAGTTTTTTTCCAAATAAGGTAATTCTAGGACGTTCTCAGACCCCTGCGCACAAAAAACTAGGACGTTCCCAGTCTTCTTCACCTTCTCACGCCCAGAAAACTAGGCAGTTTGCATTTATATCATTACAATGCGTGACATCAAATTACATTTGCGCAAATCTGTCGCAATAACATTGGTGTAAACAGAAAAAAAGCAAGAAATATATTATTATCACTAATTATAATGTTTTATAGTGCAGTCATGCCTAGCATGCCAATTTCCATCAGTACTGGTACCAAAACCTGTAAAATGGACTATATTTTACAGCCATATATTACTAAATATAGTACGTATCAAAACATGTATTGTTAATTCATTTGCGCTAACCTTATAAGCCTCTCGCAAAAATGTTTTAGGGGGGTACTTGAAAACTTGGGCTATTAACTTTTTTAATACTGAACCCCAGGCACAAGCAAAATGCCATTTGGAACCCTAGCAAAATGCCATTTGTAGACAAATCCTGGACAATTTCTAAATGTATGGCCCGAATGGTTGCGTGGGTGAAAACAGCTCCCCAGGTCTTTATTCTCTTGTTTCTGCTAAACCTCACGTAAAATGGACAAAACAGGTCTACGCCAGTGGGCTGTAAATGGTGCATGGCGAAAACAGCTTTAATTTCTTTGAAGGTAGATCTGATATCAGCGTTTTCACTATCTTTTTTACCAAATTTCTTCCTCGAACAATCCAGAACCTTTTTTAGACTTCATAGAGTGTACGTTTGCAACCAACATAGAATACACAGTTGTGGGGAATCCTTCACCACTAGCTTTGAGATTACGTTTTTGCAGGTAGCTTGGATAATTCTCTTCGTAGAATATAAGGGGAATTGGGTCAGTATTCCTCCGACTTGGATAATTCTGTCTTTTTCATAGGGCGCTTGTCCTTTAAACGGTATCTCCAAACTTGCAGTTTACTTTGAACTGGCCTAGTAGCAACCTCGTACCCAGGGCCTGCCCGCCCGATTTTTTAATATGGCCGCCAAAGCGGGCAAGGCCCTGGTAAACGCTGGTCACGTGTCAGGCAAATACTCCAAGATTCTTGGAGTATTAGCCTGCGAGCGGGCTTTATGGAAATAAAGACAGGGGGGGCGAGGAAAAGTTCACGAATGAACCGAATGGCGATTTATTTTGTATATTGTTGTAGTCTTTCTTTTTAATATATTACGTTTATATATTACGTCTAATGTACATCAATCTTCTTAACATCTGCTTTATGTTACATCATATAAATCGCCGAGGAGGCGATGATTCGATCGAAGGACGAAGGACACATGAATATTTGTCAATGAATTATGAAGCAAACATGAGGTATGAGAAATATATATTTTAGTATTTTACAAATAGCAAATTATACTGAAAAAGGACAAATAGTTAGCATACTTACAATAAATCCACAAATGATATCCACAATACTTAAGATTGTATGCGTTGTCGCAGTACAATATAATATATACACAAAATACAACTTCGTTGCTATATAAAAATATATATGCTTTTTGGTACAACTGAAAATCATTCCATGTTACCATGTACATAAATGCTCTAAAAGTTCAGGAATTTGTTGTATAGATAGTGCATGCATTTAATATGACTATTCTAGGTTCCAAAATTACCTATTTAAATATTTTTTAAATTTTTTATTTAAAAACTAAGCAATTTCTAAATGCATGGTGGACTATAAACTTCTGGTCCCTTAGAATTTGATTACAAGTTAATATTTGGCAATTAATACAGAGATCCCAGCTATTGTACAAATTGAAAAGTTATGCCAGCCCATTAGAGCTAAACCTAGTAACCTTCCTTGCTGAGATTTTGGCCAACTATATTTGCAATGTAAACTTTTTGTATTACACTTGTCAAGGTGATATACCATAGATGCATGTGCATTGTAAATATTACAAATACAAGCTAAAATAACAAAAATTATCAAGTGGGAATATATTCTTGTATCTTTACCTTATCTTATATTTTTATTAATATTCTTTCTCAAGTTTAATGCTTTAATTGGCAAGACCCTCCCCTTGACAAGTAAAACATATGGCATTTTATTATATAGAGTGAGATACTGAGAAATACACAGTGAGATATTTTCCATGTCTTCACTAGTGAAGATATCGATCATGTGACTTTTAGTATTTATACAATTTTTCGCTTGGGACTATATAATAAAAAGAACATTATGCGGTGGCTTGAAGATATGACTTTTATCTGCTTGAGTTAAAAACAATATTTTACTCACTCGCTGCGCTCGTTCTCAAAATATTGTTTTCACCACTCGAATATAAAAAGTCATATCAGGCACGGATTTTCTGGGGGGTGCAGGGGGTCACTTCCTAACATCCTGTGAAGCCTATAGTAGTCTCCGAGAAAACTTTTTAAATGACTTGGAAAGTGATCCCACCAATGAAACAGATTTAAACGAACACAGTTTATCAGTTGAGATAATGAAATCAACTGATAAAGAAACCGTGACAAAATTATCAAAATTTATCTCTTTATGTTTTGAGAAGAGATCTAAATGCCTTGAAGCTAGGAATGCTGACAGTCAATAGGCTATCGAACTAACTCCCAAACTTCTTCAATTACATATACTGTATACTGTAAATAGAGTATTCATTTGTTAACTATGCCTTTCTTTATATCAATAACTTCATTTTTATTTCTTGTATTACTCACAGTGTCATATTACCACAGAACATTTTGCATTTGTAACTATTTATAATTAACTAATAAGCTTTAGCAATACTTGTATGTGAAGTCATGCTAATAAAGCCATTTGTTACTGTTACTGCACACCCCCCCCCCCAGAGGCATTTGGCACCGCCCCAAAAAGTTTTTGCACCTATGCAAATTATATATATTTTGATTTGATAGTTTCATATTTGATTATTCTTACAACTAAATTTGTAAAATTACCAATATTATGGTCTCAGATCTCGCCATGCAGGCCTAGAAAACAAATTGCGTTAAACGTTTTCCTTCGCCTTTCTGGGTCAAAGCAAGCAGCACCCCCACCCCCCTCCGATGTTTATCCACCCCGCCGAACGGAAATATGAAAATCCGTCTCTGAGTCATATCTTTGTGCCGCCATGTAATATCCTCTATATACATGGTAAAATAACAAAGTATTGCATACTTAGACCAGTCAGTGGGTTAAAATAACTATACCTCTTTTTCTCAGCAAGACAAAGCAAGATGTATGACTTGGCTAGCCTAGCAACTCAATTCCATATAAGCATGCAGATCCTTTGTTGTAATTTAAATGGACTAAATACTGTACAGCTAAAATGGGACTTGTCAAACTATTATCCAATTTAAGAAAATTGTCCCCTCGCAATCTGCTTCTTGTGCTTTTGTAGCCAACCAAAGAGTTTCGCCATATCCACTGTACTGGAAGGAGAGACTTGCATATACTGAAAATGCAGATGAAATCTGCCAGGATTCAACTCAAAAGGCTTTAACTTCTGCAGGTCTTGCAGCATCAAAGTTTCGTCATCTTCTTTATTTTTGTGGGTGTGTGCTTGAGACCTCTGTTTGATTTTGGTTGTGTCACATATTTGTTGCACAATCTGGTGAACACCAGCAGAAGCTTTGGATGCCCGCATCCTGGCTTTTCTAGTCTTATTTGCTCCCATACCCCTTACAATGTCCTTGCTTGTTCGATTGCAGATTTCCTGTGCCATGTCACAGGCTATATTTTTGCCAGCACCACCATGCCAATTAACAAATCTTCCCCATGTCAATCGATGTGCCATTTCCTTAGACACCAATGCTTTGACTTGAGCAATGCTAGTGAACATTTCTATGGAGTAATTCTGAAAAGATGTGGATGACTTAAAATACATTAGCAGCCTCTTTTTGTTGATGATACTCCGTTCACCATCCCCTTCTTTAGACGTATCAATTAACTGCATCAGAAAAACTGTAAGTTCTATTACATTCAATCCATATGCTCTATTAAATGTAAAATATATAATACATATGGATATGTTGCATTTAATCCATATACAATATATGGGCATTAGAAAGAATATTTGGGCATTAGAAAGAGTAAAAGAATAAAATAGGGTGCATTTTGGCTCATTGCTATAGATAGCAGATAAACAAGATAAATTGGCATATAGATTTGTTCACCATTCATTTGCAAGATCATCCCGTTGAAGAGTAAAGTTGTGATATACTTAGTAAAAGAAAGTAAAGTGCATTTGGGTAAATGGGTTAATAGTACAGTAACTGACGTTTTGATTCTGTATACTGTACTATCGGCAACTATTTAACTTAAAAACACATTGTTGTATTTTTTAACAGTGAGCATTACATTTATGTTTTATCAAAGCAATGAGTTTATTTCTAAAGGAAGAATGTATTATAAAATAACATGTATATAACGCGTGCTCTGATTGTTCGAAACCCGTGTTTGGATCAGGCCATCCAAACACGGAAATTTAAAGTGAAAGTTTTTTAAAGTGAAATTTTAACACGGAAAACAATTACTTTATGGTTGTTCCTTGTTTGGATGACCTGATCCAAACACTTGGGAATGTTGCTCGAGTTAAGAAAAGCATGCAAAATCACTCTCCTTCGGCTCGTGCTTTCGCGCGCTTTTCTTAACTCTCGCAACATTCCCGCGTGTTTGGATCAGGCCATACAAACACGGAAACCATAAAGTAATTGTATATTCTTAGTATCTAAAAATTGTCATGCATAACGTTTAAAAATATTCTTTAATTAATTTCTTATTATATGCGTACACCTACCTAACTCTGTCTGCTTGCTCAGTTTCATCATCATCATCATCATCACCTGCTTGTCCATTGCAGTTGCTCTCTTTATCTGGATCAGCTATCACATACTCGTCAACAAAGTTGCCAATGACGTTATTAAAGTAGTCCATCTTCTTTTCACTTCTCTCATGAAGTATTCCAGGTGGAGGCACGTGTTTTGTAGGCTGTTCATCCAATTTCTTCATTCCCCAGAAATCCAATGCTGCATCGAGTAGGTAGGCCTTACCAACACTCAAGATGAATTGCTCCGTTCCTTCGTACGAGTCAGCGACTTTCTCGGGAGTAACATTCCGGCGGTTGTATTTCTCACGGAAAAACTTTAATGTACCAACTTCTCTAGCAGACCCTGACTTGTAGAGTAGGTTGAAAATAAACTACATGTAGAAATAATAATGACATTAGTTGCTCTTTATTAATTGTTATTAAATTCACTCTTACAAAGTACTATATAGATTTATGATAAAATTTGGCATGTAATATAAATAAGTTAAGTCGTCAGTGACTTCTGAGATCAAGGTCAATTTATGGAAATTGATCAACGAATGTATCCTAAGTAATTCCGATGCAATCATTCTGTTTGCTTTTACGTGTCTGATATATTAGAACGTTAAGGACTCAGTTACTTAATACTGTGGAGTACAGTATATACAGGAGCCGGTTGTACGAAGGCCGGATAGCGCTATCCACCGGATAGTGATTTTTTCAAGCTTTGTTAAATCAGTCGTTGATTGGTATAACTCGTATTAAAATTTAGTATTTATAAGTTAAATGTTTTTGACACTTCTTGTGTCGTCTATATCCATAGTTTCACAGTTTTTCAAGCATTTTACAAAGGTTGAAAAAATCACTATCCGGTAGATAGCGCTATCCGACCTTCGTTCAACCGGCGCCTGTGGTATAGCAATCCACATGTTAAGAAGTGATCGGAATTTATGTACTGAAAAGGGACATAAATTCTATCGTGTATCGTGTAACTGTGACCATGTATTTATGTTATTAATATTTATTTATTTTCACCTGTACATAGGCCATCTTGGTATGGAACAGCTCTGAAACAAATGGACTGCAGTGATCGAAGCGTTGTTTTGCAGTGTGTGCTCCAGCTCTCAGGTCCTTGGCACCCGCAAACCGAACTCGCGTCATTTGGTCCCCTCCGAATGGTGCTGATATTCCTTTCATGTGATCGTTTGCATCATCTTTGTTGAAGTGCGCTGCTGCTTGGTCTGGTGTGGCCGATTCACCACTTGTAATGCGGACTGGCTGCTCTTGTTCTGGTCCCTTGGACTTTCGTACGACACCGGCTCTTATGTAAATATCTTCTAATTCCTGCTCATACGAATCCAAAATATCAACGACATCTTCATACTTCTTCTCATCCTTCATTTGCATGGGCAATGGAATGATCGTCGATTTCTTTGCCATTTCCTGCTGGTACTTATGTGGAATATGTTCGGGGACGATACTTTTGAGAAACGACAGCTGTGGTATGTTTGTTACAAGAACTCGTGCGACCAATACTTTAAAATCCTCCCTCAGCTTTGTAGCTTCCGCCAAACTTATGAGAAATGTTGAGTTTGGCAACGAAAGTATGTCTTTCTGAGGTGACGTTGTGGACAGATGGTCGCATGGGACTCGTTCAACAATAAGGTTGGAAGCAAAATAGTGTAAGTCGGTATTTTGGTGCGTGGACAGCATGTCATGAGGGCGTATCTTCATGTCCCAGTTATCTCCCGTTCCATGAAGTTTGTTTCCAAGACGAACTTGATCAATTGCGCTGTCAGCAAAGTGATTACCAAGGATATCTAAAAGCTTTAACTTGCTTGTATGTGACAGACAAAATCCCATTTTCTGGCACTGTACAAAAAGCTGGAAAATAATTGTGTATACAATTGTTACAACAGTAAAGTTCTAATGTACATAACATTCGGAATAGTCTAAATTAGTTAGACTAATAGACAGGGGTGTATATTCTTCTATAACCCCCCTATAAAAGAATCAAAGGACAGAAAAACAAAGAAGAGTAAAACGAAGGGGAAAATAGGAGAAAAATTTCGGTTTGTTAATTCATGAAAATCATTGCTTCAACTTTCCAAAATGAATATTTCCTTTTTTTGTCCTGATTTTGATTGAAATTTACACAGGAAAACTGCGGATTGCAAATTTAATAAACTTATTTTATAGATACTATTAGATACAGGCCGATGTAGCAAATATATGGGGGGAAATCAAATCTGAAAAGAATGGTGTGAGAAAAGAATCAAAGATTATCGAAGAATATACACCCCTGCTAATATAGACCCATTTGGCCTTCCCCATATGGTTTTATATACATGTATGGATCATGAAAGTCTCATTAATTTGGTTAAATTTCATGTGCCTAAAAGTTTGCCTTAATACATTATTCAGCTGTCCTAAATGTCAGTGACGCTAACAATTAGGCTTACAGATATACGTTTATTGTATAACTGTATTATATAAAGTATAGTGCTTTATAGAGATTTCGAGCACTGATAAAACTGATCATCTCATATGTGAGATTATTTATCATAATTTCACATGCGAAAATTATCGCCTTTCAAAGACTGTCCTTTATATAATAAGACTGTCCTTTATATAATAAGATTGCTTTTCAAAGACTGTACTTTATGGATGCTTGGAAACACCATATTTATTTTTCATGTTCAACACGATAAATAAATCTGGTATTTCCTCGCACCCATGTATTATTCTCTATATTTAATCTGTATTTGGACATAAAAACTTAAAAGTTATATTAAATCATTTCAAGATGTGTATTTTCGATTTATGATTTGTCGTATTTATGTCGTCATTTAACCCCATGCATATTGGCAATATTAATTCAACTGTGACCGACCTCTCGTAAGCGAACACCTCCCATGAGCGAGAAAAGAGACATGGTCCTGAGTGTGTCTAGACTTGGATCAAGTCCGTCTAGAGTGTGTCCGGTTACGGGCGTTTCGGTCAACCTGGGTACGAGGTTGAGATTCGACTGCATTGAGGAATGTAGAAAACCAAAAGAATTATGAACGCGAGCGATTGTCGTATTTTACTACGCCCTGGTTATAATGTCCTTTGTGCACTATATTAAAACGATATCTGCCTTTGTGCACAATTACTGTAGTGTAACATACACTGTACCTGCTTCTTCACATTACCATTTGTCATCAGTATCGTATTGAGTCGTTGCACTAGTGTCAGCTCGTGGTTTCTACTTTGCATTAAAATTGCATAGCATAACGAAAGGCGCGGGGCAATTTCGTCTATATTGTCCTTCGAGTATCCCATCGCAGTTAGTAAGATATCAAGCAAAACTGGACAACGACTTGCCATCTCATTTGTCAGCTTATCCCAGGTGAACGTGCTCATGTTAGGAAAGTCATTTTTCCGCAGTTCTGATGGTTGATGTCTCCAACAAAGCATTGAGCACTCTTTCTCAACGTGAGGAATAATGATTTCCATAGCAGTAGCGATCGACACCTAAAATACAACAGATATGTGTTATTTTGTTAGAATGAAATGCAAGTCACACCAATTTGGAAATTACACTTCCTATCTCAGAGCCGTAGCTAGGGAGGTATTGGGGGGGGGGTTCCCCCCCCCCCAACTTTTTTAGAATTAACATATTCGGAAAATCAGGTTGGCCATTCGGAATATTACGGCAATAATAGTATAACAAAATTTTAGTTGTTAAACAGAGAACATATAATATAATTGTATTGTCAGCACAAACTGATTTAAGAAATCATAGCATTTACATGGATAACATTTAACAAATCGTAAATCGGTAAGTGTGCTTTATTACTTCTCATGGCCGTAGTAACCGTGGGGAGGGCTGCAGCCCTCCCAATAATTGATTGGTATAACTCGAAATGAAATATTCGGAAATTTGTTTCGTCATTCGGAAATTTCAACCTCGTACCCAGGGACTTTCCTCTAAAGTCCCTGGGTACGAGGTTGCGGAAATTTTTGGTCTACACCCCCCCCCCCAACTATACATGCTAGCTACGGCCCTGTGACTATCTTTAAGTTAAAATTAAACAATCCTGTGACTTTCCCCATTGCAAAGTCGAAGCGTTGACATATAAATCTATTTGTTCACACTATGTTATTTACGCGTTATTCAATAATCACTTGTCATAAAATTTTTTTACTGTACAGACCTCAGAATACAATGCAGGCGGTGCAACCTGGTCAATGCTTTCATCTTCATTTTCGTCGTCCGTTCCTGAGGGGTCGACATTCACTATCTTTCCTGCTTTTAGCGGCGAGAAAGTTAGACACCGTTTGGAACTGACCTTTTCCTTTAAACCTAGAATGACTGACGTCGCAGATGTTTTGTATTTCGAAAAGTTGTTGATTTTGAGCTCGCAACTTCTGCAAATTCGTAGAGACGCTCCCCTACCCGCGGTAATTTCTATACCAAGCACGCTTTCGATTTGTTGTGGTAAAGTTTTCCGTTGCCCAGGAACACTAAATATGTTTATAAATCTATCTGGATGATTGGTGGTTTCACATAAACAACAATAATCAACACTTTTCCATGTAAAATATTCTTCCCGAGGAGTTGTTTGAGAGGAGCTCATGTTTTGAGATGGCGCACATATGCGTTTTATTTACATCGGTAGCTTTTCAGATTTTATACTTTTCCGTATGAAACGCCCTAAATTTTTCCCCACGTTAAAGTCAAAACTGCACATTTTCCTATTTTTTCCCATGACTCATAAGTTGTCTAATCGATATAAATAGTATTAATTAAGATTTAAATAACTGGAAACGTTCTTACACCGATCTTTATATACTGATTTAAAACAAAAATAATCGTGAACTGTGAAGGATGCTTACATTAAATTCGTTTTTTCATGCTGTGCGTTACGCATTGGATAAACTTGAATACGAAGATATATTCCTGAAAGTTAAGCAGTACCAGGTGTTGGCGTCGCTGTTGGAAAAACGAGATACTGTTGCGATCCTACCAACGGGTTACGGGAAATCAATAATCTTCCATTTATTTCCTTTTGTCTACGATCATATTAACGCTTCTACATCGAGTCACGGACACGGATGCGCTGTTCTAATCGTCACGCCCCTAAATTCTTTAATTAGCGATCAAACATCTATTCTCAAAAAACGTGGAATTGAAACTGCCGTTCTTACCACTACGATTACGTCTTCCGAAAGTCGCACTAAGTCCGAAAATAATGCATCGGATAGTGAAAGTGATAATGAAGAGGCACCAGAAACTCAATCCCAGCGGTTGTCTACTGATGCAAAAACCAAGGAAAATATCGAGAAAGAGAACTTCAAGATAATCTTTGCCCACCCCGAAGCGTTCATTTCGTGTAGAGAAGGTCGACGAATTCTGATGTCCAACAGTCTTCAGCAACGTGTCGTTGCGAGTGTGATTGATGAGGCACACTTAGTTGAAGAATGGGGACGGGAATTTCGTCCTGATTTCCGCAAGTTGGCTCAACTAGGTTCTATATTTCCAAACGCACCCTTCCTTGTACTTACCACTACAGCGCCTGTACAAATGAGAGAAGAGCTTATATGCACACTACACCTTGAGAAACCCCTTGTTGTCGTTGCCAACTTAAATCGTCCAAACATTTTTATTGAAAAAAAAAAGAGAAAACCAACATCTGCTAATGAAGAAAGCTTCGAATCTATATTGCTTCCAATTGCCAAAGAATTGAAGGAGAGTTTAATTAAGTTTCCACTTACCATCATTTATCTTCCTCTAAAGTGGTGTGGTTATGCATTCAAACTTTTTCTGGAGGAACTGGGAGATAAAAGCTATGTCCCTTCTGACGAAAGGATTCCGAAAAACTGTCTGTTTGCTCAGTACCATTCCCCACAAACTGAAGAGATGAAGCTAGAAATACTGTCGCAGTTGAAAGATAATGATTCATCAAGAAAAACAAGGGTTGTTTTTGCAACAGTGGCAATAGGCTTGGGTGTAAACATTCCAGATGTCAGGCAAATTATACACATTGGTGCCCCGTGTACACTGGAGTCTTACTACCAAGAGATTGGTAGGGCTGGTAGAGATGGCAAGCAAGCACGCGCGTCTTTGCACTATAACGGCCATGATATTGCATCAAACAGGCGTGGGATGACAGAAGAAATGCGCATGTTTTGTCGTGAAAATACTGGCTGTTTGAGAAATTTAATTTTGACGTATTTGGGGTCAAATAATTTGACAACAACGAAGGAAACTGACAGACACTTGTGTTGCAGTAATTGTTTAAATATGTGCGAGTGCAACTCTTGCCAAGTGGTGGAACCATTACATGAAGCATTAGCAATAGTTGACCTGCCTGAAGAGTCACGCCACCCAGGCCCACAGCCAAGCTGCAATATTTCGAAAAGTCAACGGGACAAGATAAGAACATTGATGAGAGAATACAGGCTGAAATTGGGTTCAGAGGGATATCGAATGGGAGGAATTGATTCAAGCACTGGACTGACACTAAAGCTAATAATAGAGTCAATTGTGGACAATTTTGAATTTGTAAAGTCGGCTGAGGAAATGGTCAAGACATTTGAGATATGGGACATTGAACAAGCAAACAGTTTATTCAAAATTATCACTGAAGTTTGCCAAAATTAAAGGTACCTTTTATCATAACAATTTGCTAATTAACACTAAAAGCAAGACAATTTACTTGACAAGGGGAGGCCATTGCAGTGTTATGTTTTCATTGGGTTGTCCAATATCTTGAATGATGGTACTTTTGTAAAACAATAATTATATTACATATACATGTCTCTCATATTACATTGTCATATTTAGATATTGATATAAATCAACTTTTAATGTTTTCAATCTGTATATATCCTGGCATACTTAATCAATAAAAAACCAATCATAAGAAATCCAATCAATATTAATTAGTTAATTGATTGTCATAGAACAATCGATAACTAATTAATAACATAATCAATAGTCACCAAAAATATACAGCCAATTATGGATTTTTTACAATTAACATATGTGCATTTTATTGATTAAAATGGAATTTAGCCATTGTGTATTTGTGTTTTAACCCATGGAGCCGCAATGCACCTCAGTGCCCCCTACTTATTTTTTTTACTTGCCTAATGCCAGATGATTTTACTCATCAATGGGGAAGCTCTGCAGCTTAATGGGTTAACAAAAAATTTGACAATGTCTCTAGTTAACCCATTGAGCCGCAATGCACCCCAGTGCGCCCTACTTTTTTTTTACTTGTCTAATGCCACACGATTTTACTTGTCAATGGGAAAGCTCTGCAGCCTAATGGGTTAATTAAACGAGTACTGTACATGTTGTCTCAGCATACCCAAAGTAGGGTAGAAACAAGAATTTGGCTCTCTCTTTGTTAATATTGGCTTTTTGCATCGATGATTGATATTCCCTAATCAATCGATAATCAATAAATGAAAAGTCACAGCAATACCAGTCATTGATTTCCAATATTGATCTATTGTTATCAACTGATATTTATTGATGATTTTCATTGATTATCAATTTCATTAATTAAGTATGCTAGGATATATGCATGGAAAGCACATTTTATGACACCTATAGATACTGTATACTTAATTCAGCTAAATGAATTAAGGTTCATGTCCTCAACCAAGCCAAAAGGCCAAAGCTAAATGGTCAAAGCCTAGTATAAAAAGTACAGTAAGAAAGATGAGTTTTGATGTACTGTGCCAAATTATCTTTTGAATGGAAAGCAAGAGCCAAAAGTTTGAACAAAATCATACCTTTAGCTCTTTGACCCCTTAGCTTTGGCCTTTTAGCTTTTTGTCAAGGGCAACTTTAATTCATTTAATAGCTGCATATATGTGAAATATATATTTGAAGCTCATAGCCTCCTAATGAAACAATTAATATGTATACAGTATACTTATATGTACAATGTTTCCATACAAAAATTATAAAAATTTAATTCACATTTAAATATTATATTAAACAAGTTTCAGTACTTTGGTCACAATTGAAGTCTGAATTAAACATTTATATAATTTTATACGGCCACGTGTGTTCAGTAACTTCAGTCTACGTTTGAGTTGAAAGAGTTATAAGAAGGCTCGATACCTTTGAATTCTTTGTAGTGCTACTGAGTTCATAAATGCAATCTATATTTTCGCCACTTTTCTTTACTGTATAACAAGTTCCAGAGTTATATCGATAAGCATATATATTATATCCAATTTTATGTATATATATACAGTGTAGGAATTAGTGTAACTCGACTTCAATCCATTGTGTTTCAATCAAATATAAACTCAAAACATTTGAATATTGCATTTGCCTTCGCCCTTCTCTTCTCATCACACAGATACACACACAAATCACTATTTTCACCCCCCGTCCAAAAAATCCCGCGTGGAGAAAAAAGCCACGTTTCTAATGACACGTGACCAGCGTTTACCAGGGCTACGCCGCCGCCTTCAATTCGCGGCTAGCCCTGGGTACGAGGTTGGCCTAGTAGCTCTCACCTGACTTGATTTCCTTCGGCATTATTGACGAAAAGAAGGCAACAAGCTGTCACTCTACAAAGTCTCTTCCAACTTGAAAACCTGGAGGGATCAATGATGAAACTTCTTACTGCTAGTTGTAAAGCGAACAAGGGTTTATCGACTTTCACTTCGGGTATTATTGTGTTGGCTTTTTGTTGGCCATTCATCAGCGTTCTTCTTCAGGAACGAAAGACCATTCATCCATCTTCCATTTATCTCATGGAAGGAAGTACCACGACTTAAGTCGTCGGCTGCGTTAAGCCTTATAGAACATATTGCCAAACGGTAGGTTCCCACGTCACTTGCATTTCTGCATCTCGGACACCAACAAAGGATTTGAGCAGAGTAGATTCAGAACGAAGCTATGTGAGGACAATCACAGAGTCCAACAACAGTTTCACCTTCGAAGTTTTTAATCTTAAACTCGTCGTGGATGGTCATGGCCACATCCCATTCAAATTTCTTCATTTCTCAGATCTCCTGCAATTCTCGCTTTAATTGTTACAACTGACACTAGACCCAATTGATCGAATATTTTCGACATATTCGATAGAACAACCCGTTTGGTATAAGGCTATCTCTCGCTTAGTTTCACTTCGAAATTCATAGCATCTGTGTTTGGTTTCCACGAAACTGTGAGCGTCTTAACTCCTTTTTCTCTGTCTAAACTAACGTGTTTTGCGTTGGGTAATTCTTCTTGAGGTTCGACAATCTTTGAATTTGGTGCTGATTCATTTCTTTTAGCAACAGGACGGAAAGGGAAACCTTATCCAACTTCATATTCTGAATGGGGGTGACTATACAGTACTTAAAGGATCAGATCTATTACACAAACTTTTCCATTCACAGATCTGAATTTTGCTCTCACTACAGGCATGATACTTTGTTTGTCGAGTGCAGATGTTGTTGTGTGTTGTGTATGTGCAAGTGTCCGAGTTTTCTGTTAACAAGAAACTGTCTACGCTAAATCCAACTAAAGCAAGCGGACCCGACGGTATACCGAGTTGGCTCTTAAAAGACAATGCCGACATATTTGCTGCGCCAGTATCAAATATATTAAACCGTTCGTTTTTGGAAGCTCGACTCCCATCATCGTGGAAATTGGCCAATATTTCACCAATCCCAAAACAAAAGCAAATTCTTGACGTAAATAGCCATCTTCGTCCTATATCTTTGACATCTATCCTCTCGAAAGTTGCGGAAGACTTTGTCGTAGAAGAATTTGTAAAGCCTGCAGTTCTGAAGAAGGTGGATCCAAATCAATTTGGGACGATACCTGGTGGTAACACCACCCAGGCCCTGATCAGCATGCTGCATTCGTGGAATAAAGCAACTGACGGTAGTGGCGCAACTGTCAGGACAGTATTAGTTGACTTTAAGAAAGCTTTCGACTTGATCGATCACCATATACTTGTAGACAAACTAAAATCGTATGATATTCCTGAAAGCATTGTTTTGTGGGTTATTGACTTTCTTACTTGTCGCAAACAACGTGTCAAACTTGGAAACGACTGCTATTCTGAATGGGGAACTATTCCATCTGGGGTTCCCCAGGGTACCAAACTCGGGCCGTGGTTATTCGTTATCATGATAAATGATTTGAAAATCCAAGATTCGGAACTCTGGAAATACGTCGATGACACAACGATGTCTGAAATTGTTGAAAGAAACAACGAATCCAACATACAGGAGAAAGTTGATGAACTTACACGACATATTTCTATTGATAAACTTACGTTAAACGAGTCCAAGTGTAAAGAGTTACGTATTAGCTTCAGTAAATCTCCTCCCAATTTCGATCCTATTACCATCAACAATAAGCAACTGGAGGTCGTTGAAAGTGTAAAACTCCTTGGCATGCAGATATCTAACGATCTTAAGTGGAATAGCCATATATCTGTTATTATGAAGAAAGCGAATAAGCGTTTGTATTTTCTGAGCCAACTAAAACGTTCGAACGTGGGCAGTAAGGAACTTATTACCTTTTACTGTACTTGTATAAGACCTGTTACAGAGTATGGCTGCCCAGTATTTCACGATAGCCTGCCAAATTACCTTGTTAAAGACATCGAAAGAATACAGAAACGCGCGATGCGGATAATATTTCCAGCCTTATCATATGACGAATCTCTCTCCGTTGCTGAGTTAGTCCCTCTAGAAGCACGAAGACAGCAACTAACGGACAAACTATTCCAGCAAATTATTAGCGACCCAAGTCACAAATTGAACAAACTTTTACCACCTGTAAACGAATGCCAAATTAAGCTTAGGAAGAAACGACTTTTTAAAAATCAGCTTTTTAAAACAGACCGATTTAGGAATAGTTTTATAACTCACAATGCACTGAAAATGCGCACCTAGTTATAGTAGTAGACAATTATAGTCAACTTATACGCACATTGCCATTTGGCTCCAAACTTTTAAAATTTTTAATAGTTATTCTAATTTTAAACTATATGTAATTCTTAGCGTAATTCAGCTTTTGGCTGCAATGCTTTGCAAATAAACCATCTATCTATCTATCTCACACTTAAAGACATTGGAGGTGGGAAAGAGTCTGAGTGGAGCAACTGATGATGAAAACGAAAACATTCATTCATATTGTATCGTACTTTTGACTTACAGTTGCTTGGCATGTGACCCCGGTTTAAGCAAGAAAAACACAATCGCTGAACTTTAGCATGCCGAAATTTTTTTATCGATAGAAAAACTGGAAAAGGTGGGACAATCTACAGGACGATATTCTTCTGAGCACACACAGCTAACATTGAGGGGTTTCTTAAATTTTTTTATGTGGAGTGGATGCCGTTTCTTGGCCGAATTCCGCAATGAATTTACCAATCTGCTAAGAAACGGGTTTCTCTAAGATCTGACGCCTTTCCATTCGTCAATCAGATGATCAGGTAACCTCTATAATTTTACGAAGGCTCTCGGTGATATTAACATCAGCTAAATGATTAATTTGTTTGAAGGTTGCTACGTAATTCACTACGTCAAACGACAACTCTTGCAACAATTGTCTATCGCTAGCCTGGATCTTACGCTTGTCGACTAACTTCGTAATATAGGCCCCAGCTAAGACTCGGCTGCCTTAGTTGT